TCGGCCCCGGTTTTCGTTTCGTGCGGCTCTGTGTCAGCACAAAGCCCCGGGTCCGGGCTGCGGGCGCTGCTGGGGTTGTGCCTTTCCTCCTCCCTTTCAGTTCTTGTTTTTCCCTCGCAGGATGTGGAGACCAGTTTAAAGCTGCTGAATGTGCCCCTCACTTTCCAGCCTTTCCCAACAGTGAAACTTGGTGCCAAATTTTCGCTCGGTGCGTCTTCTTTAGGAACGTAATGGCAGGGGTTTGTTTTTTAATTGATGCTTTCTATTTGTTGCCGATAGTGAAACTCAGAGTATACCCGGAGTTTCTGTCTCATCCGACTTATTTAAGAATGACTGCACTTAGCATAAATCGGGGTGATTACTCGGGTACAGCAAATGCAGCAGAAGAGAGCGGAGAAAGCGGGGGAAGCTGAGCACATAGCATTAGTTTGAAATGAATTGAAACGAAAATGCTTCCTTTGAATGACCTGCCTGCACGTTCAAGGGATTTGGGAGTTTTCAGTTGCTTTTTTGTGATGTGCTTTCTGGTTGAAAGAGTTTACACTCACACACTGATAACAGGGTTTCTAAGGCATCACTTGAGAGATTTCCCAATCTCTGCTTTTAGGTCTCTCATCCTTGACTGGAGTTCTGCCATGTTGCTGTTGAAAATTTTGCTGTTACGTGAAGTTTGCACACTTCTCCTTCAAATGGAGACTCTCCAAAGCTGTCATCTGCCAGCCCAGATGGACTGGCTTTCTGTTTCCTGCGCGTGGAGACAGCAAAACCGGAGTGTGATACAACTGTGTGTGCTGCATGGGATGGAGGGCCATCAGATGGCTTAGGCAAATGAGCACCCAGGCTGTGCAGGCATTGAGTGCCTGATGATTTTAATAGGGAGCGACCAGCTCGGTCATCGCTGAGAATCTGGGTCACGAGTAATTTACTTTTCTGGTGGCTAGTGCCAGAAATAAAGTGGTGATTTCGGGGCCAGTATTTCAGGCTGTTAAATAGGAAAGCTTCTTGTCTAATTCAGTGATTAGTTGTCTTATCTCCTGATTCTAGTTGCTTCTAAACTTTAAAAAAAACTCTAGATTCAAGTATAACTATGAATTTTCTTCTGAAAATTGCTATTGCTGTGGCCAAGCACTTACTGTCCACTTAGTTTATGCAATCAAATAGAAGTATTTTATATTTATATGTGGAATCATAGGCAGTGGAAAGGATGAGATTTGCCTGAACCCCTTCATGCTTTAGTATGTTTGAGATGATGGTCACAGGTCAGTGCTATGCAGTGAAATTCCACTTTTTAAAATTACCCATCCGAGTGTTTTGCTGCTTCTTTCAGTGCTGTGGCTTGTAGGGCAAAAGTTGAACCGACTTTTTGAGTGATAGCCAGTTTGGTGGCTTGACAGCTGTAAGTGGGAACTGTCCACCTTATTCCTTGCAGCTATCAATATCTGGTTTGATTTGCTCTAATACTCTAGTGCAAATTATTCTTCACTCCTTCTTCCCCCAGGTTATTGAGACAAGTTTAATGTATTGATTTTATTATTGTGGACACTTGAGGTACCTCACTTTTAATCTCTGCTGTGTTTGAAATCAATTATTTACTCCTACATTTGTCTCTATATCTAATTACCCACAAAATACCACCTTTCACCTCTGCCTCCCCTGGATGGGATGCTGTAGCTTAATTTTCACTTTGTGGATTACTTCTAAAATGTATTTGCTAAAAGAAAGACCTCTTTAATAATAAATCAGTCTCTAAAACCTGGGGTTTAGAAACAGATTTGCTGGGAGCTTCTGGTGGAAGTTTGTCCTTTCATAGCACAGAGTGTGAGCAATGGGTGGTCACACAGCTTGGCAGTAGAGTCCTGAAGTACTGGCTCAGCACAGACTGCATCTGGTGCATTTGGTGGAGCATCTTGTCAAAACAGCTGTAGCAGAGTTGCCAGACAAATGTGACGAGAGTTACTTGGTATTTTAATGCTGCAAATGGGGAATTATGACTCTGGAATAAATAAATTCTCCAGCACTGCTGGAACCTGAAGTAATGAAAACTGAATCTCTCAAAAGAGATGGAAAGTCACATGTTCTTGGGGTAAAGTGTGTGTCTAGAAAATAAAAAGATGGAAGCAGAACATCTAACTTTATACTTTTGTAGGGAGATTTTTAGATACCTGTGGTAGAATTAGACCAAACATTTATCCTAGTGGAGAAGAAGAGACAACCAGAGGCTGCCAAGGACTTTGCATGACGTGGGGGATATACCTGAATCTCTTTGCAAACTTTCTGCTTGTAGCCTGTGTGCAGTGAGATTAGGCAGCCAGAACAGCAGTGCCTCCTTTGGAATTGGTGAGGGCTCGGTTTCTTCAGAGGGCAGGAAGATGCTTTTTTTGACTTAATAGAAGTTAAGAGTTCTTGAGAAAGTGCTCTTCTAGACATCTGACAGGAAATGATCTCATTTGCTTATGAATATATGATCAAGGTCAGAGTGCATCTGAGCAACCAACCCTCAGCTGCATTTTCCTGACTGGGGTCAGGAATAGCCTGAGTGTTAACTTGCAGTTAAGTAGATAAAGAGAACCTTGAGAGGCTGTGCTGCTTGCTAAACTCTTTATTCCTATTTTCATTTAGAGAAACAGTTACAGTGAGGTGAGACTTCTGAATGACTTCAAATTATTAAATGATTACTTGATAAAGTAATTTAAGTTTATAAAATCTTCTAAACAGCTTCTTAATTTCCAGCAGTAATCAAGCTAGGAAGTGTAGCATTGCCCATATAAAGCATTATTTACATTCAGCATTTCTGCTTTTATTCTTGACCATCCTAATTTGGTTTTTGCCTTGCTCTAGGTTAAATGAACAGAGCAGTTTCAAAGCAGTGAGAGAAAGGAGACAGCTTTGGCAAGTACTGCTATGACATGTGAATCATAGTCATTCAAATAACATAAAAATTTAACAACCAGAAAGCAGAATCTGTGTCTGTGAGCTAAATAGAGAGCTGGTCAGAATATGTGCCAGAGAAGTATCACAAGGAATTTCTGCCTGGCTTGAGGGACTTTCAGATAATTTTGAGAGAAATGACTTGCAATAACTAGTTCTCATTTATCTACAAAATTAAAAGTTCAAAGCACTGTGGTTGAATAGAGAAACAAGATTGTCTTTCCCAGTTGGAGACGTGCTAATGTGCCATCCTCTTACATTTTTCTCGGTGGTTCTGCTCTTAAATACATAAATCAGCTCAGCTGCTATTAAAAGGATTCCCAGCATTTCTTCCCTTGCTGATAGAAATACATGTAAAATGTTCATGAATTTCCCAAATGATTGCTGATTTTTAAGCTTACAAGTTATGTTTCAGAACCTATTTCCTTTTCAGTTCTGTGTGTATTTTTGTAGATAACTGCTTTTGTTCTATGTTTCTGAAATGGTTTTAGCATCTGGTCCCTGTGGATTTAGCCATGTATCTTTATAAAATGGTACAGATTATATATCTCTTGCTCTTTTTTTTTAAGGAAGCAAGTTAACTTTGGTTAGCTGCTTCTGAAAATGTACTTGAGTGCTGCAGGGTTATTCACAGTTGCGAATGAGCATAGAAAAAATTTGGATGAAAGAAATATGACTTTTCTTCAATTTTTTGTTTGAAGGCTGAGAGGAAGCAAGCAGAAATGCAAACAAATAGCAGAGTTAGTTTTGTCAAAAAGAACAACATTGTAATTTTTTTGTATCAAATGCAAAATGGTAACAAATTTAAAGGAAGTTAAAGGATTGCCACAGTGGAAGCCTCTTCATAAATACTGAAAAAAAGGGGCATGAAGAATTACTGACCTTAATTCAGTCTCCTGTGTTTGAGCCGGTAAGAGAAGAACTGGTACCTGCAACACATTAATATATTTTAATTCTGCACTTTGAGATGATCATAAAGTTCTTCATAAAGTGATCCTGTAGGAAATGTGTTTTAAGGGAAATGCTTGTTTCTCAGTTTGATCACAGTTAACTTGGAGCGTGACTGACAGTCCTTCGCACTTCAAACACAAGCGTGTGAGACTGAGTTAGACTGTGGAAGTGTTGATGATCTTTATTGATGCTATCTTGCAAGTTTCTCAGTTTGATCACAGTTAACTTGGAGTGTGACTCCAAGTTTGAATATGCTCTATCCACTTTGAAGTCCTTCGCACTTCAAACACAAGTGTGTGAGACTGAGTTAGACTGTGCAAGTGTTGATGATCTTTATTGATGCTGTCTTGCAAAAATGATCTAATTAGTAGTAATAAAGGGAAGCGTCTTGAAACTGATACAGTCTTCTTGAGTGGATGCTGATAATCCTTTTTATTGAGGGTAGCATCGATGTCGGTCTTAGTTGGAAGAAAATGTATAGAGTTTTTCTAGTTTCTATGCATTTCTAGTCACATTCCAAGAAGTTTTAATCTTGGAAGGATAAATTTCATCTGTTTGGCCTTTAAAGCTGAAGCCAGCTTGGTAGAAGCAGATATAGGAGGCAATGGCAGCAAAGTGTTCAACAACGCTTCGTGTTGCGAACGTCTCCCTCTGAAGTTACATTTTGTGGTGTTACCTGGCAGGTCTGGTGAGGGCTGATCCTGCTTTGGCTTTCCCCTGCTCTTACAGCCTGCCCTACCTCCTTGGTTTCCTGTTGTCATAAGAACATGCTGGCATTGTGACTTCGAGGTGCTGCCCACCAACGGGGATGGAGTTTCCCCTGCCCTTGCCCTTACACTTCTGCTGGCAGCTTTTGGGTTGGCTGGCAGCTCTGCTGTCCACCTTGTGTCAAAGTGAGCCCTGATCTTCCTTGCTTCTGGTTCTGATGATTGTGGAGATACCTCAGCACTGCGTGGCCTTCAGAAAGCCCTAGCTGCTCGCTTTCTGACTTGTTGCTGGCCTTTTGAGGTGTGATGAATTGGGTGCTGAGAAGGAGAGTTTCTCAAGTGGTTGCTGTGAAATGCAGACTGTATTTTTCCAATTTTGTGTGTCGTATTCCTTTTTATTACTAAAAACCAGATTAGGATGGCTGCCACATTTGTTTGATATGCTGGAGGGAAATGGCTGAAAAACCCAGGGCCTGAATTTTTTTATTCTTGTTTGAGTCTTTGCTTAAACAGTATAGCATATTCATAACACTAATGTAGAAACACTGCACTGATAATTTGCTCATTAGAATAGACAAGAAGCCTGTATTTAAAATGGTCAGCTGGTTATATCCACCTCAGGATCCATGCTGTGTTATTAAAACGCTGAGGTCATCTTTTATCAAGCTGATTTTACCAGTTGCTGAAGCCCCAAGCACTTCTCTAAAGGCAGGTGAGCTGTTCATGTTCACACACGTATTTACGACCTGGAAGAACGGAGCTGGAGCAGATGGAAGCTCATGTGTGTTGTAAGTCAAGAGAAGTAAATTTCTGTGTGAGGGGTACAAAGTGGATAGAGTTGGGGAGACAGGTTTGGGCAATTTAAACAGGAGCTTTGTGGTGGCTGATGCTCTAGTAGGGAACCTGAACTCAATTCCTGAAGCAGGTCAGCAAGCTCTGGGTTGCCTTCTCCAGCCCTGTGGCCCCTCAGTGAGGGGCCATCAAGAGCACAAGCAAAAAGAGGGGTTTAGGTCAGACTTGGCACTTGAGTCTGTGTCTGTCCCTCTCTCGCTCTCAGAGCAGCCCCGTGTTGAACAGGCAGGCTGTAAAACTCGCTGGGGCAGGGGTGACAGACGTGGGAGTTTGTTCTGGCATTGCGGGATACTTGTGTTCATGCCAGGGTGTTAATTTAGAGTGCAAATTAAG